AAAACACACACCGGCTCTCCGGGAAGGGAATTAAGCCTCTTTTTCGCCCCCCTCGAGCTGCGGCCAGGGGTCTCCAGTCTCCTCTCCCCCCCGCTTTCTTAAATGAGAGAAAGATGAACCGGCCGCCCCTCCTCTGCCCGGCAGAGGGGCTGGCTGGGTGGGAGAGGAGAGGAGAGGAAAGGGGGGTCTGGAGATGCCCCCCAAAAGCGGCGCTGCAAAGTAGCCGGCTCCAAAGTGTTGTGCCGGCTGCGGAGATGCCTGGAGCCCTCGGAGTAGAAGCGCTGGGGGGCTTCGCCCTAATAGTCGCCCCGGAGAGGGCAGCAGGGGTCCCCTCTCCAGGTTCCCGTTTCCAGACGCGCAAGGCTCTTCGGTCCCCTCTTGGCCCCGGACACTCCCGAGTTCGGCTCTTGGCCCTGCAACCCACCCGGCGCCCTCTTGGGCCCCCCCTCCTCCCCCTCCCCAAACCGCCCTGTGAAAAGTGAAAGCAAGCGAGGGAAGCCAACGTTGCGAGCGAGCGTACGCCAAGCACCGGCACACGTAATTCCACCTCTCTCTCTCTCTCTCCGGAAAGAAGGGAGGGAGGAAGAAAGGAAAGAAAAAGAAAGAAAGGAAGAGGAAGGAAAGAAGGAAGGAAGGAAGGAAGGAAGGAAGGAAGGAAGAGGGAGGCAGGGAGGAGGGAAGGAAGGAAAGAAAGAAAAAGGGAGGGAGAAAAAAAAGAAAGGGAGGCAGGGAGGAGGGAAGGAATGAAAAAGAAAGAAAGAAAGAAAGAAAGAAAGAGGGAGGGAGGGAGGAGGGAAGGAAGGAAGGAAAGAGAAAGAAAGAAAGAAGGAAGGAAAGAAAAAGAAAGAAAAGAAAGAAAGAAAAAGAGAAAAAGGAAGGAAGGCAGAAAAGAAGGAATGAGGGGGGAAAGAAGGAAGGAAGGAAACAGAAAGAAAGAAAGAAAGAAAGAAAGAAAGAAAGAAAGAAAAAAGGAAGGGAGGGAGGGAGGCAATGAGGAAGGAAGGAAGGAAGGAAAGAAGGAAGGAAGGAAGGAAGGAAAGAAGGAAGGAAGGAAGGAAGGAAAGAAAGAAGGAAAGAAAGAAGGAAGGAAGGAAGGAAGGAAAGGAAGAAAGGAAGGAAGGAAGACCACCCTCTCTTTCCTGCGGCTACCCGCGTTGGCCCCCTTTCCAGGAGAAGAGATCCCGATCTCTCGCGGAGGAATTTTTTGGAGGGGGGGGGGTCCGGCCATTTCCCTCCCGGCCACTGCGAGGAGCGAGAGAGACCCCTCCAGTCCGCCTCCGGAGCTGGAATGAAAACCTGGGCTGGGGGGCCGCTCTCCCCTTGACTCCCGCCCCGCCCCCAGCCGCAACCTGTCGCCGGAGGGTAAACGGGAAGCTTGTGCAGAGCGCAAAGCTCCGCGCCTCCTTTTCTGCTGCCTCGCCTGCTGAGCTGCGCGGAGTTTGTTTGGGCTCTTTAATTTTATTTTTCTCGGCCATTTCTCCACCACTCGGGGCAAAACTTCAGACTCGGCCGCTTCCTTCCTTCCTTCCTCCCTCCCTCCTTTCCTTCCTTCCTTCCTTCCCCCTTTCCTCCTCCCTCCCTTCCATTCTTCCATCTCTCTTTCCTTCCTTCCCCTTCCTTCCTTCTCCTCCCTCCCTCCCTCCCTCCTTCCCTTCCCCTTTCCTCCTCCCTCCCTCCCTCCTTTCCTTCCTTCCTTCCTTCCTTCCCCCTTTCCTCTTCCCTCCCTTTCTCTCTCCATTCCTTCCTTCCTCCCTCCCTCCCTTCCATTCTTCCATCTCTCTTTCCTTCCTTACCCTTCCTTCCTACTTTCTCCTTCCTTCCTCCCTCCCTCCCTCCTTTCTTTCCTTCCTTCCTTCCTTCCTCCCTCCCTCCTTTCCTCCCTTCCCCCTTTCCTCCTCCCTCCCTTCCTCTCTCACTTCCTTCCTCCCTTCCTCCCTCCCTTCCATTCTTCCATCTCTCTTTCCTTCCTTCCTTCCTTCTTCCTTCCTTCCTCCCTCCTTCCCTTCCCCTTTCCTCCTCCCTCCCTCCCTCCTTTCCTTCCTTCCTTCCTTCCCCCTTTCCTCCTCCCTCCCTTCCTCTCTCCCTTCCTTCCTCCCTTCCTCCCTCCTTCCATTCTTCCATCTCTCTTTCCTTCCTTCCCTTCCCCTTTCCTCCTCCCTCCCTTCCTCTCTCCTTCCCTCCCTCCCTCCCATTCTTCCATCCCTCTTTCCTTCCTTCCCCTTCCTTCCTTCCTTCCTTCTCCTTCCTTCCTTCCTCCCTCCCTCCTTCCCTTCCCCTTTCCTCTTCCCTCCTTCCCTCCTTCCTTCCTTCCGCGGCCCTCGGCCAAGCGTCAACCGCTCTCTCTCTTTCTCTTTCTCTTTCTCTCTCTCCATGCGTTAGTGTGTGAGTGTTTTTTGGAAGAGCGGGGAGGGAGGGAGGGGCGGTCCTGAGCTCCCCTGCACCAACCAGCCGCACTTGAGCGAGACGAGCCGGTTGGGGGAACGAGGGGGCTCGCTCCACAAAACCCAACACAATTGCGGAGAAGGGAAACTGTGGTACACGGCTCGTTTTTGCATTCACAACTAGGACTCTGGCCGGATTAACCCCCTTCCCCCCCCCCCTCCCAAACGCCGATCCGTCGCAACCTTTCGGACCTCAGTGATTTGGGGGTTCATGCCCCCCCTTTTTTTTCTCTCTCCACTCTCTCTCTCTCTCTCTCACACACACACACACACCCCAGTTTCTTAATTACGGATGCAATTAAACACCAGCGGCGGCCGTTCACGTGGGAAGCAGCTACGGTTACATCCTCCGTTTCCCCCTGTTCGATTCCCTTCTCAACCTTCGCTATTATTCGCTAATATTAAAAAAGGGGGGAGGCGGGTTGCTCCCAGATGATCGCCTTTCTCGCACGCCACCCCACCGCCCTAACCTTTGAACGGGAGGAGTCGAGGGGTGGGGGGGGGGAAGGTAAAAGGGAGGGCGAGAAGTGAACTTGAGTGCCGGTTTACCTGCATTGGGCCGGGAAGGCAGGAACGGCGAGCGGGGGAGTCTGCAGTCGCGTTTCTGAACCGCTCTCCCGGCGCTGCAGCCTCCGAGCCCTCCGACACAACCGCAGGTAAGAGCGGAAAACACACACACACACACACACACACACGCAAGCACGCAAACACGCACGCACACACACACACATACTAAGCTGCGGATGCAAGAGCAAAGTTGGAACGCTTGACCGAGCAAGACAGCGAGAAATCCACCTATTTATATATATATAGATATATTTTTCCCATCTCCCTCCAGCTTCCATTTACGGTTCGGACGAATATCTTAATCCGAGCAGTTTTTGGGCAGCGTCTCGCTTTGTGACTAATGACCTTGCGCAGAGTTTGTGTGGGTTGGTCGTGGTTTTTCCCGCCTCCCCTTTTCTCTTTCTTCTCCCTCGCCTCTTAGAAGAAGAAGAAGAAGAAGAAGAAAAAAAAAAGGAGGAATATTTTCTCCGGAGCAGCATCGGAAACGCCCCCCCCCCACACACACACACCCCGAATAGGGTTGGAGGCTAAGATCTTTTGGGGACCAAAACGGGACGGCTCCGGGAGCTGCTCCGTAAAGCAAGAACACTCTCCCCACCTCCCCACAATACATAAATAGCTTCAGCTGTCAGCTTCGGAGGCGGCGTATTTGCTTGGCTTCTCCGGAGGGCTTAAAAAAGAAAGAAAGAAAAAGGAAGGAAGGAAGGAAGGAAGGAAGGAAGGAAGGAAGGAAGGAAGGAAGGAGAAAAAAAATCACCTACCACTATCTAGCGCTGAGAGAGAGAGTGGGAGAGAGAGAGAAAGAGAAAGAGAGAGAGAGGGAGGGAGGGAGGGAGAGAGAGGAGGAATGAGAGAGAGAGAGAGAGAGATAGGGAGAGAGACTGGGGCTGGTGCGTCCTCCCGCCTCCCTTTTCCGCCGGACACCAGCGCTCTTTGAATGAAGCGATTGACGTCCCCCGCTCGCACCCTCCCTCCCTCCCTCCCCCCCTGCCCCCCCCCGGCAGCCTTTTTGTGCGGAGCGGCGGAGAGACGAGAGCGAATGCCACGGCGGAGAACGTCGGCTCGGAGTGAGCGAGCCAAGCCGGGAGAGAGACACAGAGAGGGAGAGAGAGACACAGAGAGAGTGAGAGTGAAGTGAACTGAACTAGGGAAGGGGAAAGAGAGAGGAGAAGATAGATAGATAGATAGATAGATAGATAGATAGATAGATAGATAGATAGATTGAGAGGAAGGAGAGAGAGAGAGAGAGAGAGAGAGAGAGAGAGAGAGAGAGAGAGGGAGAGAGGGAGGAAGCGGCAAAGCGAAGCTGGATCTGATCTTCCCCTGCTCTTGTTCCTCCGGCTTTTTCTCGCCAACCTTGCAAAGTGATTCCAGCGCTGCTGGAGGAGAAGAAGAAGGAGGAGGAGCAGCCGAGGAGGAGGAGGAGGAGACGAAGGCGAAGGAGGAGGAGGAAGAGGCGGAATTCCTCCCCAACCTATCTGCGGAGCTGCAGCTTTTTTGAAAAAAAAAATCCCAAGCTCGCACATTTGCCCCGTGAACTGTGAGGAGAGAGCAACTGCAGAAAAGCAAGAAGGAAGGAGACGAGGAAGGGGAAAGAAAGAAAGGAGCCGCCGGCCAAACCTAGCTCTGCTTCTCTTCCCCCCCCCCCCACCGCAACGCACCCCTCCCCGTCACACACACACACACACACACACAGACAGAGACGCTCGCGCCATCCCCGGCTTCTTCTCTCTCTTTTTTTTTTTAACCTATTGCACCAAAGAAGGATGGAAAACGAAGTTTTTTCTGCCAGAGCCGGCAAAAGGATTTTATAATTGAACTTCAGGGGTTTTTTTTTTTTCCCCAGCTATTTCTCTCTCTCTCTCTCTCTCGGCTGGCCAAGCAGAGGCAAGGGGTTGGGAAGGTGGGGAGACGGCGGTTACCTCTCCAGGGCTGCCGGGGGGGGGTCTTTTGGTCGGGGGAAAGCGGGTGGGGTTGGGGGGTGGGGGTTGGGGGTGGGTGGGTTTCTGTCCTGCCCAAGATGTGGAAGATGCCGGCGCTCCTGGGTTTGGTGCAACCTCGCTACTGCTCCCGCTGCTGCCGTTGCTGCTGCTGGTTTCTGCTCCTCTTGCCTCCGCCGTTTTGGATCAGCCTGGCGGCGGCTAAGCAGGTCTTGAGATACCGCTTAGCCGAAGAAGGACCGGCCGACATCCGGATCGGGAACGTGGCTTCGGATCTCGGCATCGTCACCGGCTCGGGCGAGGTAACGTTCAGCTTGGAATCCGGCTCGGAGTATCTGAAGATCGACAACATGACGGGCGAACTGAGCACCACGGAGAGGCGCATCGACCGCGAGAAGCTGCCGCAGTGCCAAATGATCTTCGACGAGAACGAGTGTTTCCTGGACTTCGAGGTGTCGGTGATCGGGCCCTCGCAGAGCTGGGTCGACCTCTTCGAGGGTCGGGTCATCATTCTGGACATCAACGACAACACACCGACTTTCCCTTCCCCGGTGCTCACCCTCACCGTCGAGGAGAACCGTCCGGTGGGCACCCTCTACTTACTCCCGACCGCCACCGACCGCGACTTCGGGCGCAACGGCATCGATCGTTACGAACTGCTGCAGGAACCCGGCGGGGAGGCCGGCAGGAGAGGCGCTGGGGGGGCTCCGGCAGCCGCTTCGGCCACCGACGGGGCCCTCTATCCCGTCGGAGGCAAGCGGAGGCAAGAGACCGACGGCCAAGCTCGGAGTAGCGTCTTCGAGCTGCAAGTGGCCGACACCCCCGACGGCGAGAAACAGCCGCAGCTGATCGTCAAAGGGGCTTTGGATCGCGAGCAGAGGGACTCTTACGAGCTCAGCCTGCGGGTGAGGGACGGGGGCGAGCCGGCGCGCTCCTCGCAGGCCATCCTCCGCGTCCTGATCACCGACGTGAACGACAACAGCCCCCGCTTCGAGAAAAGCGTCTACGAGGCGGACCTGGCCGAGAACAGCAGCCCGGGCACGCCGATCCTCCAGCTGAGGGCGGCCGACGCCGACGCCGGGGTCAACGGCCAGATCGAGTATGTCTTCGGGGCGGCCACCGAGTCGGTGAGGCGGTTGCTGCGCCTCGACGAGGCGTCGGGCTGGCTCAGCGTCCTGCACCGCATCGACCGCGAGGAGGTGAGCCAGCTGCGCTTCACCGTCATGGCCCGAGATCGGGGGCAGCCCCCCAAGAACGACAAGGCCACGGTGGTGCTGACCATCCGCGACGAGAACGACAACGTGCCCACCATCGACATCCGTAAGATCGGGCGCATCCCGCTGCGCGACGGGGTGGCCACCGTGGCCGAGGACGTCCTGGTGGATACCCCCATCGCCCTGGTGCAGGTCTCGGATCGCGACGAAGGCGAGAACGGCGTGGTGACTTGCACCGTGGTGGGGGACGTGCCCTTCCAGCTCAAGCCGGCCAGCGAAGGGGAGGGCGAGCCTCAAAACAAGCGCAAGTATTTCCTCCACACCTCGGCCCCTCTCGACTACGAGGCCCTGCGGGATTACAACGTGGTGATCGTGGCCGTCGATTCCGGCAGCCCCAGCCTCTCCAGCAACAACTCGCTGCTGGTCCGGGTGGCGGATACCAACGACAACCCTCCCATCTTCAGCCAGCCAGTGTTGGAGGTGCCCTTCCCGGAGAACAACGCCCCGGGCGAGCGTGTGGCTACCGTGTTGGCCACCGACGCGGACAGCGGCAAGAACGCGGAGTTGGCTTACTCCTTGGAGCCCTCGCCTCTGGCGGCCGAGACTCCCGCGGGCCTCTTTACCATCGATCCGGATTCGGGCGACGTGCGCGTCCAGGCGGTGTTGGATCGCGAGCAGCGGGACGCTTACGAGTTTCAAGTCACGGCCCGGGACAAGGGTTTGCCTTCCTTGCAGGGCTCGGCGTTGGTGGTGGTGAGAGTGGCGGACCGGAACGACAACGAGCCCCGCTTCATGCAGGACGTCTTCACTTTCTACGTCAAGGAGAACCTCCAGCCCAACAGCCCCGTGGGCATGGTGACCGTGATGGATGCCGACAAAGGGCGCAACGCTCAACTCACCTTGGCTATCCAACCGGGCGCGCAAGAATCAGGAACCGGAGCTGTTGGAGACCCGGGTATCTTCTCCATCGAGAATGACACGGGTACCATCTACTCCACCGTCTCTTTCGACCGCGAGCTTCAAACCACTTACACCTTCCGCGTGAAAGCCGTGGACGGAGGCGAGCCGGCTCTCTCGGCCACGGCCACCGTCTCGCTCTTCGTCATGGATGAGAATGACAACGCGCCGGCCGTCACCTCGCCGGCCAACACCTCCATCAGCCTCCTGCCACCTTCCAGCAACCCCCGCTACGTGGTGGCCACGGTTCAAGCCCTGGATGCCGACGCGGGCCAAAACGCCGAGTTGACTTACAACCTGGTGGGGGGCAACCCTTTTAAACTCTTCGAGATCGACCCTTCCACCGGGGTGGTCTCTCTGGTGGCCAAGCTGGCCCCCAAACACTACGGGTTGCACCGTCTGGTGGTCCAAGTCAACGACAGCGGTCAACCGCCTCAAGCCACCACGGCTCTCCTCCACGTTTTTGTCAACGAGAGCTTGGCCAACGCCAGCGCGGTGGAGAGTCAAGTGGCGAGGAGTTTACACACGCCGCTGGGCCGGGACATCGCGGGCGACCCCAGTTACGAGCTGAGCAAGCAACGTTTGAGCATCGTGGTTGGGGTCGTGGCCGGCGTGATGGCGGTGGTCCTGTTGATTTTGGTGGTGGTCTTGGCTCGCTACTGCCGCTCCAAGGGCAAGCACGGCGGCTACGAGGCGGGCAAGAAAGACCACGAGGATTTCTTTACCCCCCAGCCCCACGACAAGGCCAAGAAGCCCAAAAAAGACCGCAAGGGCAAAAAAGGGGGAGGGAAGCAGCCCCTCTACAGCAGCATCGTCACCGTCGAAGCCTCCAAGCCCAACGGGCAACGTTACGACAGCGTCCACGAGAAACTCTCCAACGCCGACAGTCCGGCTTTGAACCGCTACCGTTCGGTTAACGGCGGCCCGGGCAGTCCGGATTTGGCCCGGCATTATAAATCCAGCTCGCCTTTGCCTACCGTCCAGCTTCACCCCCAGTCGCCCACCGCCGGGAAAAAGCACCAAGCGGTGCAGGACCTGCCGCCGGCGAACACCTTCGTGGGGGCGGGGGACAACATTTCCATAGGATCGGACCACTGCTCCGAGTACAGCTGTCAGGCCAGCAGCAAGTACAGCAAGCAGGTAAGACCACCCTTCCTTCCTTCCCCCCCCCTTCCCCGACCGTCCAGGTATTTCCCAGGCCTTGGGGGCTCAGCTCAAATTCAGCGGGTGGGGGTGGGGGGCTCCTATTCCTCCTCCCTCATTCCCCCTCCCCATTGTTAGGCAGCCTTTCACCCCTTAAGTAAGTGCTTCAAGGCTGTAAGTTTATAAAGTGGATTTTAGCTTAGCTTTTCCAACCGCTTGGGCAAAGGCATTCAAAGGTGAGCTGAATTTGCACTCGGAACCGGGCAGGTATTTGAAAGAGAGAGTTCCATTGACGCCTGTGGAACTCTGGGCATGGTTGGATGGCCAATGGATGGATGAAGCTGGGCCCAGGGGGCATCCCTAAGGCTACAAGAGACGGAGCCTGGCATCCAGCCAAAAGGGAGCCCCTGGGTTGCCCCGATACCGACAGAACCCCCAATCGTTCCTCTTCTTTCCCTCTTGGGGCAGGTTTTTTCTCTCCTTCCCCCCACCCCGATGTCCTGTTTAACCCTCCGCTTCACACACCTGTGCAGAGCAGGGATGGGTTGAGTTTGACTTCTTCCTATTATCTGAGCTAATTGCGGTTTGAGGGACCTGCATCCCCGAAGGCAGGTTGTGGAAGAACCTGGCCTACATCCGCCAGCACCGGCTGGACCTGTTTGGGAGCAGAACGAGCTGGTTGGAGGGAGGGAGGGAGACAGGAGCAGCCAGCATGATTAACCATAGTTAAGTAAACTACAGCTGGGAGCAAAGGTGTCATCTGTTTTACCGCACGCAGGCAAGGTTGGCCTTTCCCTCCCACTCCTGTTACACCTGTTGTGTGGGGCCTGAGGAGTGGTACCTGGGGGGGGGGAGGATACCCGCAGGTACCACTCCTCAGGCCCCACGCAACTCGGTACAACTCCTTGTATCAAAGCCTGGTCTACCTCTCTATCCATCTCTTTCGCAGGGAAGACTTAAGCGGTCCTTAGACACAGCCTCCTGTGTCAAAGTAATATCTCCTGCCTTATTCTGATCCTTTCCAGGTGTTTCAATCCTCTTTGTCACTGTCGCCGTGAACAGGGATGGAGACCCAAGATAGGGGACTGGAGACAGAGACCATAAAGAGGTCTAGTTTTTAAGTGACTCAGGGAAGGCGTGAATCAATCCGTAACTTAACCGTTGAGGAAGGCCCTTAAACCCACTGATCGAGTGACGTACGAGCAGCTGAGCTTAATTGTGTTTTGTGCCCCCCCCTTATCTTATTTCTCCAGTTTCTGCACATAGTTAACTTCTCTTACTTTTGACCTTCCTTGAGATCTAAAGAAATCCCCTTGGTTTGTAGCAGGCATCTTTTCCAAACTTAGGTCATGTCAGAGAAAGAATACTATGCTAATGAACAAGGATGTAAGTGGGTGAATGGTAGTTTATGATAATCAGATCCTTTCCTCCATTCTCTATCTTGCTGATTTATAAGCCAGGATGCTTAAAGGTGAAGACAATTGAATTCCTTATTGACAGGCAGTGAATAGATGCTGGACGTGAACAGAGGTGTCACTCAATCTTAGCCTTCCTAGCTTCCTAGTCATATTGAGCCATACATTGAATGCTGGCAGAAAGCCACAATTAAATGCACAATGGTCCTCATGCAAACACATAAGAACAATGTTATTTTGTTGGTTTTCTTTTCTTTTCTTTTTTTTATAAATCACACAGTCACACTTTCAAAAGGCTGAATTGCATGGAGCAGCTGAGCTTTTGAATGAGTTCTCCTGTGCTTTTTTGGTATCTGCCAGAGAGAGGTAGGGCATCCCATGACGTTGCTGAACTACAGTTCTCAGTAGGGGTTAATGCTTGGAGATGCTGGCAGGCACATCTGGAAAGCCATAGTCATCTCTTGAACCATGACTCTAGAAAGGCAAAAAACCCTGGAGCTACCAAGGGTTGGTCGTGACAGGATGGTTTTGGGGTTGTCTCCACTGGTAGCCATATCCAATCCAAACCAGCCTGCCACATCATGAACCAACGTAATTGTGATGTCCAGATGTTCCTCAAACGTCCATAAGACCATCAACCGGCATTTAGCTCACTTGATCAACATCAGGAGGACAATCCCTTGACCTATTCACCCAAATGGACAACTGTAGTCACAAAGGTACATCTTTCTTTCTGACATCACGGGATGCCACAAAGAAGTGAAGTGTTTAAGCCCACCTAAAGTGGCCCAAGAAATAACATCATCTCCGTAACCAATATTTCCCCTTGAAAAAATGAAAATTCTGCTTCTCTTATTCTTGGGAATAATTCCATGGGGAAAGGAGGACATGTTTTTTTTTTTACCAAAATTTCTTTGAATCTTTTTTTTTGAATCTTTTTTTCCCTTCCAAAATCTGATCCCAGAGAACACTGGCTGTTATTTATTTGCCTGTTAAATCTCAAGAGCCCATTCAAATGAAAGCATTTGAATTCTCCATCTCTGATGTCCTATTTTACGAAAGCTCTATAGACTCCCTTCACTCTCGTACTCCCAATTCCATTAACCTGGCCTAGCAAGACAAAATAATTTGGAGTTAACAACAGCTCATCTTTTTTACAAATCAGAGGTCAGCGGGTTGTCATTTAATAGGTCCTTCTGTTGTGGTTGCCACTAATACTGAGTACCAGTGTCACACAACGCTGATTGTGTTGAGAAGAAATAGTCAGGCCTCCTCTTTTGATGTTTCTTTCACCCCTTGCTCTGAAAAGCATGAAAAAGTTCATTAAATCCAAGAAGTCCTTTCGACTCCGAGACCATCACTTCGTGGACACATTCAGCCTGAACTGTTTTGTGATTGCCTTCCACCAATTTAAATTGCATCAAAGGCACCTGCTAGGAGGCTGGTGGCCTCTAAAAAACCAGTCATTATCTATATATATACAAAAAAGAACTTGAAGGTTACAACCTGAATACAATGCACTGATTCTCAAGTCAGTCCAGTCAAACTCAGGATGTACAGTCGTGGCCCAAATTGTGGAAACCTTTTGGGAAAAGTGTATTTTTTAAAAACTAGCTAATAACACCACTTTTTTGGGGGGAAGTAGTACCATAAAATCATATATCAATGGAAAGACAATTTAATCAAGAATGTAATGCAGTATCTTTTTTGAAGGATTTGCTAATAGAATAGCAGTTACAGTAGAAAGAAGAAAAGTGAAACACGTAGAAAAAAACGAGATATACAAAAATGATCACCCTAGAAAAAACAAGATATACAAAAATGATCACCATGTCAGTTAATACTTAGTTGGGTAACCTTTAGCATGAATTGGGGCCTTACAACGTCTTCCCATGGAGTGAACCAAGTCTTTGAGTTCTGCAGCTGTTCTAATCTGAAACCAAGATTGAATGATGGCTTCTATTAACTGGGTTTTATTGCTGGGTCGCTTCTGACTAACAAGTTTCTTTAGTCGGCTCCATAGATTTTCAATTGGGTTAAGGTCTGGGTTATTCCCAGGCCATTCCAGCAGTGGAATAGGATTATCTTGAAACTCCCCAAAAAAGTGATGTTATTAGCCATCAAACCTCAAAAATACACTTTTCCCAAAAGGTTTCCACAATTTTGGCCACTACTGTAGAAGAAGCACTGCCAAATTTGCGCTGTTCAATCACTCAGTAGGTAGAAGTTTCTTCCTTTTGAGCTGACCTACCAGCCCAGAAGAAAAAAGACTTTGTTCTGAATTAGGCAATCCTTTTCGGTATTTATTTTGTTGGGAAGAAACCATTTAACTATGGTGTCACAATCTAGCAATAGTAAATTACTGTACAAGTAGTCCTTGACTTACAACTGTTCATTTACTGACCAGTTCAAAGGTACAACGTCACTGAATAAAGTGATTTAGGACCATTTTTCAAACTTACGACTTACTGTCACGGGGTCAAAAATTCTGACGCTCGGCAACTGGCTCGTATTTGTGACGGGATCGTGGGATCCCCTTTTGCGACCTCCTCACGAGCCAAGTCAACGGGGAAGCCAGATTCATTTAAGAACCATGTCACTCACTTAAAATCCACAGTGACTCACTTAGCAACTGTGGCAAGAGAGGCCGTGAGATGGGGCAAAATTCACCTGACAAATGTCTCACTTAACAACAGACACGTTGGGCTCAATTGCCGTCATAAGTCAAGGACTACTTGTATTATCTAAAGTAGCGTGGCTGAAATTCCATTTTAGAGAAATTCGTGGCGGTGCATGCAGAAATATAGGAATTAGAAATATAGCTTTCCTAAGTATACAGTAGCTTGAAACAGAGAAAAACTGTATGTTTGCATTTTTTTCCCCTCTTAAATGCGCAAATGCCATTCAAATGTGTAGGCTTGGTGCAAAAATTGTGGGTTTTGTGTTGTTGTGAGATCTGTTCGTTGACTGAGTGTGAACTTTTATTGTGCTCAATTTATTGCCACAAGCACTTGGATGGGCATTTTAATGGAAGCCATATATATACACAGTTCATAGGATATATTTTTTTAACCAAATGAATGATCTTCTTGTTGTTTTTTAACCAAGAAGTGGACGTAGATACTCTCTGCAATTTTGCCTTATGGAGCATTTAACCTGTACTTTATTTTGGCATACTTCATTAGCTTTTCCTGTAGAGGAAGTTAATTGCAGTTTGAAAACCCTTGCCAGGAAAATTATATATTTATTTGCGGCCCAAAAAAGGTTTCCATAAGGTATCTTTAAATTATAAATAAAACACACAAGTCTTGTTAATAATAGCTCCGGTCGATCTTGGACTAGATGCCATCTGCATTCATCTGATCTCGGTTGCTGAGTCACCTGCTGGAGATGGGTTCAAAGCGGCTAAAATAATATTAAGACTTGAATGAGGTTAGAGCTTGTGAGTGACCTGAAGGTGGTCTGAAGTTGTGTGAATCGTTGCAACCATTCAGCTTTCAAGCAATTTCAGATAACCTTCAGACAACGCTGATTAGTTGAGAATCTTAATCCACATGTTGGGAATGACTTCAGCTGCGAAAA